GCGTCTTCGAAGCCACCCTCTATCCCCTGGCTCATTTCTTGTCTTTACTGCCAGGCAGCCAATCTGAGCTTGCATGGCATGTCCCTGAAGCCTCTGGCTGGGGTAATGCCTCGTCTCTTTTCACAGCCCTGACAATGCTCTAGGAGCCTCAGCCACTTTCCCCTGATGAATCACCCTAACGGCAACTCAGACTACCTTGGACTCCAATTTGGCCCCCAACCCAGGGCCACTCCCTGGCAAGCTCAGTAACCAGCACCCTCAGCCACCTGCCTCTTCCTTCCATGGGTCATGTGAGATTCCTCTGCCTTTCTTCCTCTCCACACCCTAAGAGCCCAGGGAGATACCGGGGAGCTAACTTTGGCCCTCCTTTGTCAACTGCGCTGCTTTACTTGCATGCGGCTGATCCTGTTTGGAGCGGACGGGCCTGAAAGGCAAGCCCCTTGCAAACGCCCAAGCAGATAGTAGGGCAGGCCACATTCTGCATTTAGTTTTTCCCTCAGCCCACTTTTCTGATGACTGCACCACCCAGGAGGGGATGGGCAGCGTTTCTCCCTTCCTCTTTCTGGTCATGTACCACCCCACCCCCACCATAAGAAAAGTATGATCAAGTCCACCTGCTAAAGTGGGAGATAAAAATTGGGTAGTCCTTTATTGTCTGGTAAAGTCTGAGTTTCAAACTCATTATCTTGCTGCAGACTTGAAAACCCCATTTGGGGCCTGTAGAAGCTGGCGAGTACCATTTTCTCTTTGTATTTCTCCTACAACAATCTAACTGAACAGCCTCCCGTATACCCCAGGCAGATGTATGCCCCAGGCTGACAGTGGAGAAGGTCAGGTGCATGGACATGCAAACAGAAAAGCACGTCAACATATTTCCAAAAAATGTTACCTCAATTTCCCCACACCTGGAACACAAGCCTTCTCATTTAAGAATGTATGCTTTCATCCTCTATACTCACTGACCACTAGAATGAATGAAATTTGGTTTTATGCATGAAAGAAAGGAGCAGTGATAAAAATAAATCAGACATGAAACACTTCACTTTAATCCAGAAGGTATCTGCAGTTACAAAAATAGAAGCCAACACTATCGGCAGATTTCCTGAGAAATAACAATTGACAGTGAGAAAGTAGAAAAGAATGACAAACCATGAAAGCATACTGCTGGCCATCTGGTAGAGGAGCCCAGAGCCACCAGCTCACAACTCAGCTAGTGTTTGTGACCATGGCTTAAATCTTCGTGAAGCTCTTTCATCATGTTCAAGAATCTAAATGACCTTCAGTAGTCAACTAATCCAATTTTCTATATCCAAGCGTTCCTTCAACTTCTTTTCCATTGTCCTTCATCAGACTCATCTCTTTGATTGTCAACAAAACTCTTTGCGCGTTTATTAACCTTCATATGGCAAGAACAGACTCGTGCTTCTGTCCCGCGCCTGGGTGTATCACCCCAAACAGCTAGTCTCTTCCTTTACTTCCTCCGTATCAATTTACGGTCTCTATCATCTCTAAGCCTGGCTTAAAACCCAGAACTTCCAGGAATTCACTTTTTGGTTAATATACTGCTTTGTGACTGTTCTAATATACTGTTTTGTAATTGTCCTAAAATTTTCTTTCCTTCAACTGCGCTAAAGTCTCTCAAAGACTTTAAGACGCCTTCCTTACCTCCATATCACCCTCCAAACACAGCACTCTGCTTTATCTAATAAATGGTTAGAAAATGCTTTTGATTTGACCTGCTTTCTTAATTTATTTTTATCTATAGTGTATGGTGGGAGGATCAGACTAGATTAAAATATTTCTAACATTATTTCTGTTTCATTCCAATTTTCTAACATTTCATTTTGTCAGAACACTGAATATCTGTTTCAGGTTGTAAATAAAAGTGTACATCTTTATAAAAGAGAAATCTATAGTTAGGAGGAGGTTTTTTGAATATGTATACCTGTTTCACAATCACCCAAACATGAGAGCTCTGTGGGGGTAATGAAGGCTTTATGTAACTGAGCTTAAACTATTCATTCATTTTTGAGCCACGACTGTGTAACAAGAGTTGTGTTAGGCATCAGGTATGCAATGGGTAGTGATGGTTAACACGTACTGGATGCTTACTGTGGGCCAGATACTGGGCCATATATTACTTCATTAGGCTTCTCGACAATTCTATGAACAAGCTAGTATTAAAAACCCTGTTTTACCTTTTTGAGTAGGATACAGCCTAAATCTGTAGTGAGATGTTTTCGTGTGCCTCCCCTTAAAACATTAAGAGATAAGGAGATGGGGAGTTCTTTCTCCCTTCACTAGAAGGGCAGAGGGCAGGGTAGACAAGTTTGCAAAGGAGGGAGGGTGGGGAAGATTTGGTCCGGGGAGAGGAAGTCCTGAGCAGGACTGTGGATCTGAAGGGGTAGCTCCGTCACTGTTTGCTTTCTTGTTGCTGGGGAACCGAGCACACACAAAATGAGCAGTGTGACGACACAGGCAGCTCACCTTTCCACCTGTGCCCTGACGTGTGGCTTTCTCGGCAGCTACTTCTCTATCAGGGAGGTGTGTCAGATAGACAGTGAAGGTACAGAGCAGGAATGTGGGGTCGCTGCCTTGAATAGACTCCCAGACAGCCGGGTAGACACATACATGATAACTCCAGTGCAGTGAGCTGCACCCAAAGCCCTGGAAATACAGAAGAAATGATTAATTTCTCAGCTGGCCACTATTCTGCTTGTTCTGGTAAATTTTCTTTCTCCTCTGTCTATTTCACTAACTGGCGCCTTTTCTTTCTCAAACTGACTAGTAGAGCGTTCCTCAAAATCTTCAGCAGATCCTCTGTTCTTCATCATCCTCACATTGAGCAACCTAATCAACTCTCTCAACTTCAATTCCTCTGTCTCCGTGTTGACCGCTAGATCTCTCTCGTTAAGCCCCATTTCTCTGTTAAGATATATGAGAACTTCTAGGAAACACTAAGGTCTCCTCACAGTCCTCACTCCTATGCCCAAACTCACCATGACATTACCCTCTGTCCATTTCCAGTCTCCTCCCCAGACAAGCTTCTTTTTTTTTTTTTTTAGCAACATCCCTGACTTTGTCGATAACCCTACCAGTCTTGTAGGACCGAAACTCAAAACCCGACTCATTCTTTGCCTCATCTCCTTTATCCAGCCAGCCACCATATATATCCTGCTGAGACTTCCTTCAAAATGCACCTGCACTGTCCCTTCCGCTTGCTTCTCATTGCAGCAGCCCTAGTCTTGGATTTTCATCACTCAGGGCTTTAATGAAAGACTCCCAACAGAGTGACTCCCTCGCTCTCCCTTGCCCCTTTCCTACTCCTTGCCTTCTCTCTCCTCCCCCACCCACACTTAACCTAAATATTATCTTCTGCAAACAGTGGTCTTGTCATGTTGCATCTCTGCTCAAGGATCTACTGTGCTTATCTTTTAACCCCCAACTCCCCGTGTTCTCTACGACCTTGCCGACTTTGTCCATCCAGTGCTGGCCCACACTCCCTCATAGTAAAATGAAGCTCTTCAGCTTCGGTAATCAGACAAGATTGCAGCACTACTTGGCAATAAACGTCCTGAAGAAATTAACTGTTAATGTGGGAAAGTCCTAAGGGAGCTGAAAAACACCCTCCCTTTTCTGTAGATTTTAAAGCAGTAAGAGGTGGACTTGTTTGGATGTTTTAGATGCAGGAGACAGTGGATGATCTTGTTGTGTCCCCTTTAGATCTTAGTGCATACCTGTCTACACAATAGTTGCATTTTCTAGCGAAGCGGTCTGGAAAGCCTTTAGCATTTAAGCCAAAGAGGTAGGTACTCTATCAACCTTACCTGGCTGCACTGTTTCCACGTAGTAATGAAATGTGCATGCCTCCTCTAGATCAGGGCCCTGGACACCCTAGAGGAATTTGAATTAAATGAGACTATGCTTTGTGAGTCCAATTGGTACCCTTTGTTGGTTTTTTCCCCCTCTGCTTCAAGCAGAAATCTTGTTCCTTTTTCATTTATTCTGTCAAACATTTTTATAAGCCTATTTGTGCATTAGCTGAAAATTCCTTGTCATTAGAGACTAATTCTTGTTTTTAGAAGCACTTTATAGCCTTGCTGTTCTTCATCATCTTTCTTGAATCAGGCCAGCAAGGCCTGCCTTGGCCCTTTCACCTCTTATGTTGTTCGCTCTCTAAAGGCAGAGTTTTTTCCTGAAATACTGGTCAGAATTCTGGTCTGCTCCCCACAGTCTCCTAGAAAGAAGCTCCCAGAGGGACAGACCGACCCCTCTATGAAGAGCAGTAGCTAGAAAATTGTTGGGAATGTCGCTTGAGGAAGGAATCACGTTTTTAAAAGGAGATGCTTTCCAATTCATCCCAGCCTGAGTGCCTCTATGTCTCCCTTCTCTGTGGCAATATTTGTGTTTTTTGCCGTTCTGCTTTGATTCTGGAGTAAAAAGTTACATTTGCGAAAAGAATACTCACTTCAAAGATAAATCGCCTGTCAGCAGAAACTCTGGGCTTACTTTCCATTCTTTGATCTTCCTTCAGTGGCTTCAGTGGCCAATTACTGAAGGTGCCTCTTGTGTTAGATGCTATGAGAAATAGAGCAGAGATCTAAAACAGCCCCCTCCTCAGCTTTACAGTTGAGTTGGGGAGATAACATGTATACTCATAAAAGGGAGAGAATATGCTTGGTTGCTTGGTATTCAACGAGTAGGGCATTGTAGGGCATTTCTCTAGATTTCTGTCCCCCCAGAATCTCACGGGGGACATGAAGCTCGATCTAAGTTGGGAGAACTTGCCTCTTTAAACTAATTATATTTCTATTAAATTAAAATTCATAAACCAGATGAGGGAAAGATCTCTAAGAATAACTAACCATCCTCAGTGTTCCCTTGTTTGTGTATGAGGAAGATTAGCCCTGAGCTAACATCCATGCCAAACTTCCTCCATTTTGTATGTGAGATGCCTCCACAGCATGGCTGACGAGTGGAGTAGGCCCGCTCTCGGGATCCGAACCCACAAACCTGGGCCACCGAAGCGGAGTGCGTGGAATTTTAATCACTCAGCCATGGGACCGGCCCCTCATTGTTCCTTTTTTTAAGTGATAGCTTGCGTGCTGTGTGAGAGACATTGTAAGGAGGAAGGGAGGGCCTCCCAGAGTTTGATTTACACATGGTCGCACTGGAGAGCCTGAGAGAACTGGGCAGAGACCCACTTTCCTGCTGACTCCACATCTAGTGCCCCTTCAGCCTGAGTGTGACCTGGTAGAGAGCTACTGGCGAGACTGGTCATACCAGCCAAGCTTTCTGGTTGGAAATAACAGGAAATAAGCTTGAAATTACTGGTGGATACTAAGGCTCTGCTTATTTTTAGGGAAAGTAACAGGGAAAAACAAGTGTTATGGTGACACCCTTATGTGGGAAATCTAGAGGTACTGCCAGGTTTTAGAGAGAAGTATGTGTGTGTGTGTGCACACAAATGTGAGAGCACACACACACGCGTGCTCGGAACCAACATTGTAGCTGCTTCTGGCATTTTTCTTGCCTGTCTCTTCACGATTAAACCTCAGTTGGAAGCGATGAGCTGCGTGAGTGCTACGCTTCTGCAGGAAGCTTTAACCCCACAGCTCCTCACAAGTCAGCACCTCTGTGATCCATGGTGTTTGGCCTGCTTTCTGCATCTTCTTCATTGTTCCAAAATAGTCCTGGGGTTACTTTGAGCTCTGCTTCTGGTGCTTTGGAAGTTTCCATCCACGATGTGGTCTAACTCATGCTCCAAACATGTGTCAGGTGCCACCCATTGAGTACACATGGTGTTGGGCAGCCTTGAGGGCACACGGCTTAATAGGAGATAGCAAGCTAAAGGAAACAAATCCTAGATTAATGTAAGTGATAGATACCCATGTGTAGATATCGACAAGTGACATTCCCTCAAGGCGTTTCCTGGGTATCTGACCATCTCATTATTTGGTACTATTTTATATAAATTGGACAAGCTGGCTATCTTATTCTTAACAAGCTCCCATTAATATTGTTATTCAATCCATTGTAATAATCAAAGAGGAAGAACAATATTTCAATTCACAGATGCCATTAGGTGTTAGCGTTCACTCATTCAACAAATATTTTGAGCCCCTGTTATGTACACAGCACTGGGGAGACTGCTGAGCAAAGCAGGCATAATCGCTGCCCTCATGCCAATAATAGGGGATAGACACATGATAGATATTTCATAGAGAAGAATACATCTTTAAAAATGATGGCATATTGTGTGAAAGAAAAGTACAGTGTGCTATGAGAGTCATTTAGACAAGAGAGTTAGAGCAGGCTTCTCTGTGTGGGGTCACTAATTTTAGCTGAGAGCTTGAGGATGCATTGGTGACAGCCGGAAGATTCCAGGGTGAGTTCCATGTGGAGATAACAGCATGTGTGAAAGTCCTGGGGTGGGAAAGGATGGGGGTAAAGAGGCCGGTGTTGTTGGAGCATAGCCAATGAAGGGCAGGAGCTAAGTCATCAGGACTTTGTAAAATGGGTATGGATTTTGGAATTTAAGCTAAGTATACTGAGAAGACATTGGAGGACTATAAACAAGAGAATAAAATGATCAGATTGTGTGTGTGTGTGTGTGTGTGTAAGTTGGCCTTGAGCTAACATCTGTTGCCAGTCTTCCTCTTTTTGCTTGAGGAAGATTGTCACTGAGCTAACATCTGTACCAGTCTTCCTCTATTTCATTTGGGACGCTGCCACAGTGTGGCTGGACAAGCAGTGCTAGGTCCATGCCCAGGATCGAAACCTTGCAGGGCCACAGAAGCAGTGCACGTGAACTTAACCATTACGCCACCAGGCTGGCCCCAGCTTTGTATTTTTAGTGGTTACTCTCCTGGATTTTTGAGAGTATCTTGAGAAATGGATGATGGAGGGAGTGGGGGGCATGAATGGATTGAGGGAGATTGTTAATGTAGAAGTAAGGTGACTAATGATGGTGGCTTGGACAAGAATAACAGTGACTAATGTGGAAGAAAGTTGAGGCATCTAAGTTCTGCTTTGGGGTTAGCATGAGCACAATTTGGTGAAGGCTTGCTTATGGGGAGAGAAGAGTCAAGGATGGGCCCTAGGCATCTGGCATAGTGGAGAGAGGTACCATTTACTGAGCCATGGAAAACAGGATAAGAGGCAAGTTTAGGGCATAAGAATAATAATTCATTCTTTGAGGGTATTATGTAGGAGATGAGTGTGGGATAGATCCAAGTGGAATTGTGTATTTCATTTTGGAGCCAAAGAGGAGGACCAGGGGAGATATTCCCATTTAGGAATTGTTGGTAGCTGTGATTGGTATACATGAGAAGAAAATGAAATCTCTTAGGAGAGGATTTGGAATACAAAGAAAGGGGGACTGGAATTTCAGCTTTTAAGGGTCAGGTAGAGGAGAAACCAAAGAAGTAAAAAAAAAAAAAATGCAAGATTATTTGGTGTCATGGCAACCAAAAAATGAAGTATTTCAAAGGAAGACTCTGTCAACTCTGAATTTCCCCACTGCCATGTCAAGTATGATGAAGAATGAAAACTGTTCCTGGATTTAGCGTCAGACAAGGGCAGTTTTGTAGAATTATTGAGTAACTGTGCATGTGTGGAAGGAAGAATGAGGAGATCTGAGGAAAAGGAGATATGGGTGTGAGAACAGCTCTTTTAAGAAGTGAGGGTGGGAAGTAGAGTGTAGACAAAGGACAGAAGCCTGAGAGTGGTTTTTCCTAATAGGAGACTCTAAAGCTTGTTCAATTGCAGTTGGGAAATGGGAAGGAGGTTGGGTACAAAGTGGAAGATACAGAAGAGAAAGGAATCTCTTGGTGCTAGTGGGTCCCATCTAGAAGATTAGAAGGATTGGAATGCAGAGTCCACACAAAGGGACTGGTCTTTGGTAGGAAGAGGAAAGAAAGAAAGGATGGGTACAAACAGTGGAAAGATTGTGGATCTGATGGTAGGAGAATTAGGGAGTTCTCATATCATGGCTCCTTTTTCTCCTTAAAGTATCAGGAATAGAAATCCCCTGAGAATAAAGGGAAAAAAGAAGATTTTGGTTTAAGAAGATAGGAAAATGCGTGACATATTTGACTAAAGAAACATTTAGTGGCATGAATGCCTGGTTGAGAGTAGTCATCAGGGCCACCATATACAGCTGTGCAAGTTGTGTATTGCATAGGGTCTCCATTTCTAAGAAGGGCACTGTTCACATCATAAACATCATAGATTTTTATATATGTTATGACAAGTTTCTGGCTGATGGCAGTAAAGTATCTTGTTCTTGCAAAATCAAGTTATTACCACAGCTTTCTGACAGAGAAGTCAAGTGCCTTGAGGAAGGGACATCTTGTTCTGATTCACAGGCGGGCACCATCTGGGATGCTTGTATTGTACTCATGCAGTTGCAGGGTAACAGCACTCTGCCCCAGAGGGTGATTTTTCTCCAACAGCATGCAGGTTGTTGCAGGCACAGACATGAGAAAGTGGGTGACGGAGTCCATCTGCAGTTGGAGTTTTCAAGGCAGTTGTGGCCTGAGTAGAAATGAGAAATGCTGAAGTAGCCAAAAGAGTGGTTGAGACGATGCCCATACACTCCCAGCCAGACGGGGGGGGAAAATGAGAATGGAGGTTAGTGGATCTGAACCCCATCAATGAAAACAAAGCCCTGGCTGGTATATGGGGATTCCCCAGAAAGTGAGTGCCAAGGATAGGAAGCTATGGCCAAAGACTATGATATTGAATTGGTGATTTTGAAGGTAGGGAGTTTCTGGTGATGTCAGGGTCGACGTAGGGGATGGGGGGGTGTGGTGATATATTTAGTATCTACTCAGTGGGATAAAAAAGGCATCTTAGGGGCTGGCCCAGTGGCATAGTGGTTAAATTTGTGCACTCTGCTTTGGCGGCCTGGGGTTCACAGGTTTGGATCCTGGACATGGGACCTATACACTGCTCATCAAGCCACGCTGTGGAGGCATCCCACATACAAAACAGAGGGAGATTGGCACAGATGTTAGCTCAGGGCCAATCTTCCTCACCAAAAAAAAAAGAAAAAAGAAAAAGAAATCTTATGTTTTTTCCTTTAACCATCAATATGCTCAAAGTCTAAACTAGAAAAGAGATAATGTCCCAAGAAGTAAAGAGTATGATTATCTCAATTTTTGCAATTCAATTCCAAAAAAAGAAAACAGAAATTAAATAGAAACCATGATCAGTGTTTTAAAATATGCTATTATGTACATGTGCTTTCTTAAGCGTTGCTTAGCTATTTCTTAGAAATTACTAAGAGGATTTTGATTAATTTACTCTTTATGATATGAAAAATATTTCAGATCTGTTATTTACGCAGAACAATTTCAACATGTATTTTTTGAGATTCTGTGCATTAGCAATATTGAAGAATACTTATGGTTTATTGCTCTGGAAATTTTGCAGGTAAATCCCCATAGTTTATACTTGTGTTATTTCAGAATGGTACTTCTGGGAATAAACCCAGTGTTTTTGATGGTTTCAGGTAAGCAGAGGTAGATATAGGGTGTCTTTCTTGATGTCTGGTGACATGTTAGTAAGGCTTGTTTTAAAAATAAGCAATGTGGGGCATCCCCATGGCCTAATGGTTAAGTTCAGCACACTCCACGACAGTGGCCCAGGTTTGGTTCCTGGATGTGGACCTACACCACTTGTTAGCAGCCATGCTGTGGTGGCCACCCACATGGAAAATAGAGGACGATTGCACAGATGTTAGCTCAGGGGCAATCTTCCTCAAGCTAAAAGAGGAGATTGGCAACAGATGTTGGCTCAGGGCCAATTTTCCTCAGCAAAAAAAAGAAAAAAGAAAAAAAAAGCAGTGCATGGGTATATCTGTCTGTCTGTCTAATGCCCATGAGTAGAAAAAGGTAATATCAAGACTCAACAAATTAATTTTGAAAATAGGCTAGCACACTGGGGAGCTATTTAGATGTGATAAAATATTAATTATCATGAATACAGAAATAATAACAAACAAGAGGCCTCAGAGTTAGTAAACTATTTGAATAAAGGACGCTTTAGGGATAAAGTTGTGGCTTAGACATAGACATTTAGGGTACATTTAAGCTGAAGTTTGGGAAATGAATAAAAATTTTATCTTGTATTCAACAGTAACTTCCGATATAGCTTATAACTGTGTCTGGGAGACAGGAATATCTTGTTTCTCCCTAATGTTCATATTCACTTGAATGGATATTTGGATGCTGTTCCAGTTACTATAGTTGAGTAAATTACTCCAAAACTTAGTAGAATAAAACAGCCATTTATCATGCTCACAGATTCTGTGGGTCAGGAATTCAGACAGGGCACAGAAGTGACCCTTGTGACTTCCAAGGCAAGGGACAATGCAGCTTCAGACTGGCTTTGTTTCTCAGCATGCCTGCCCTTAGAACCCAACTAGCATCCAGCAGCAACCACTAGACATGTGGGCAGTTTGGGCTTCCTCACAGCATGGTAGCATCCCCAGACCAAGAGCCAGTTGGAAGCTGCATTACCTTTTGCCTTGGAAGTCACACAGCATCATTTTTGCATTCCATTCATTAAGGCAGTTAGTTACAAAGTCTCTCCGATGTGGAACTAGAAATATTGCTGTGGCCATTTTTGCAAAATACACATATACCTATTAGTTCCTTTAAGCATTATTCAGAGATGCCTTCCTGAGATCCAGTGGCACACACATTTAAAATTTGCTGGATTTGTGGTTGCAAATGCTCTGGAAAATGAAAGAACCCCAGGTCTAGACAGACAGTGTCAACCGTCTGACAACACCTAAAGAACAATTGCCTCTCCTGACTATCCCAAACCTTCATAACCCTCTTCAACTTAATCCTCTGCCCTTACTCTCAGCTCATCACCATGCCTCCATCAAAACTCTCAAAAAAAATAATGGTCTCCACTTACTCACCTCCTTATCATTTAGCCCAGGCACTCTCCTGAAATGTCTATGACTTCCCAAAGTACAAATCCTACCAATTTTTCTCAGACCTTAAGGAACCTCCTCTTTAAAGTATTTTGCAATGTTGACCACCCCCTCCTGCTTCAAACTATGACCTTGATTCTGAAATACTATACCCTAGTCTTCCTCCCACCTTTGCTGTCTTTCTGTTCTTCTGCCTGCTCTTCTGTTCACTGTGTTAATGTTGGCATTTCCCAAGGACCCATCGTTGGCTAAATACTCTTCTTAATTTTCATGCTTTTCCTAGGTGATCTATTCATACTCCTAATTTAACTACAGTTGACGCCAAAATCTTTGTCTCCGGTCTAGCCCTCTCCCTCACACCTTTCCTAATATGCCCAACTGCCTTTTGAGCGTTCCTACTTTCATGTAGAGATGGGTCAGAACTCTAAATACAGTACATCTGAAACTGTGCCCCTGTATCGTCACCCCATTACCACCCTGGTAACAGCTCACTGTTTTATTCTCAGTAAGACTAGAAACCCAAGAAACATCTGGATGCCTTACTTTCTTGTACATTCTACCTCTAACAGATCACTAGATTTGCAGACTTTGACCTTCTGACTATTTCCTAGATCTGTGTCTTCTGTAAGCCTACCATCTTGGCTCTCCTTCAGGCCTTGTGACTCTCACCTGGACTCCCAGTCTCTACCACACCTCCCTACTTCAAGTCTGCCTTCCACAGAACCCAGTGTGATCAAAATGAAACCCATATCCAACCACATCACGTCTCTGCTCAGTGGCTGCTGAGGCCACAGGATCAAGTTCAAGCTCCTCAACATCCCACAAAGCCCTCTGTGGTTTTGCTCTTGTCCGAATCTAGGGCCTTACCTCATACCACTTCCAGCCTCATATTTAATGCTGCAAAAACATCCAGCTGCTTAGTTTCCCCCAAAGAGTGAGCTGTTTCTTACCCTCATTCCTTTGCTCATATTGTCTCCTCTGCCAAGAGACAGCTTGAGGCCGATACCACTTCAGCAGGTAGGCGTCTGATATTGCCTCAGCCCTGAGAAAGAGACTAGAAGTATGCAGGGGAGGGGGGTGAGGTAGCACAGTGTGCAGGGCAGGATGGGTGGATGTTTGTGACAATGGGTGACATTTACTCAAACCACATTTTCTGTAATAGGCCATTAGCTTGTATTCTACTTCCATATTTTGGCTTGTGGTATACCACAATCAGTATTGTTTGTCACATGCACAACTTACAGACTTTAATTTTCACAAGAAAATTTATAGAAATATATCATTCCAGAATGTGTACAATACTCTTCTGATAAAGTTCTCTCTCAGGACATTTTTGGTTGATTCCCCAACATCTGTTCTGCTCCAAGTGGTTAGTCTAAGACAGTAGTTCTCAAAGTGTGGTCCCCAACTTGCTACATCAGCATTGCCTAGGAACTTGTTAGAAATTCTTGAGCCCATCTCAGACCTGTTGAATCAGAAATTCTGGGGGTGGGGCCCAGCAACCTGTGTTTTAATGAACTACTGCAGGTGAATCTGTTGTATGCACAAGTTTGGGAACCACTGGTCTCAGACAGTCTTAATAAGCCCATTCTCATTGCCACTCACTGGCTTAAGAATACGTAGGTAACCCGATTCTGGCTAGTGGGAGGTGAGAGGAAATCAATTAGGTAGGGAGGCTTCTGGGAAAAGCGCTGTCACTCCTAAGAGAAAAAGTGCTCTGGTGTCGTTATCTGGTGTTATCATGTCTATGGATGTGAACATCTGGAACTGCCTCACCCTTCATGAAACCGTGAAGGGTGCCAGCTGATGGCAAAGGCAGCATGCTGAGAAGGACAAAACAGGAAGCTGGAAAGAACTTCAGTCCTTTAGGACTTCACAGAGCCATTGAATTAGCCAACTTTGGAGGCTGTCCTGCCTCTAAAGGGTGAATTATGTTTCCTAATTATTTAGTTCCATTTGAGTCAATTCTCTGATGCTTATTAAAAAAAATAATGAAAATTGATGCATATACTTAATCTTCATATATACATGCATTTATTCATGCCTAAAAACTCTTCCTTTGTTTTTATAGGTGACGCTTTGTTGTTAGTGCCATCTAGTCCATTCTGACTCCTAGCAACCCTGTGTACAGCAGGGCAGAACCCAGCCCAGTCTTTCTGCGGCACCCTCTCACCTTCTGGGGCTATATCAGACAGTGCTCTGCAGCTACTCCTAGGGTTTTCATGGCCAATTTTTTGGAAGTGGGTGGCCAGGTCCTTCTTCCTAGTCTGTCTTAGTCTGGAAGCACCGCTGAAACCTGTCCACCAGGGGTGACCCTGCTGGTATCTGAAATACCAGTAGCATAGCTTTCAGCATCACAGCAACATGCAGTCGCCCACAGTATGATAACCGAACAGCCACATGGTGTGGTTCCCTGACCAGGAGAGGAACCGAGGTCATGGTGGTGAGAGTGCCAAATCTTAACCACAAGACCACCAGAGCTGGCTTATAGATGATACTAGATGGTGTTTATAATTACTGACTATGTTAGGTTCTTTGAAACTAAGTGAAACCCAAATGTCCCATTCACTTCTAGAATATAGTGGTCACACTTCACTTTAACAATGAAATAATGATACTCCAAGCCCTTTTCCTTTTTTTTCCTGGAGATACAGGGCTTTCCCAGGAGTCCCTACCCAAGCATTCTTGGGAATCCCTCAGGAATGCTGTGTTTCTCAATTCTACTGTGATTGTCACTTGTGTCCTCAGTCAGCTGTCAGCCTGCCGTCCACCAGGCTGCTTTCTACAGGTCATTCCTTGTCATTCTCTAAGGGAAAAGAATTATAGTGCAGATGTGTAATTTCTCATAGAATTCAATAGCCAAGCACTATCAGAGTCCACTTCCGGAAGATGCCTCCTCCATATCCAACAGGTCCCCATGTCACAGGAGACAGCTTCACTCTCCCACCTGGAGGTGCCCTTGGCCCTGTCTTGCCTCCCACTGAGGTTCTCAGAGAAGATTAAAGTCTTACTTGTCTAAAGGGAAACAGCATGAGAGACGCCCAGTCCACCCATGAAGAAGATTAGCATTTACTTTATAATGTAGAGCTCTTTACTCCTCCTCTCTCCCTTCTGCCTCCTTTCCAGAGTATCTCCTTGGCTTTGCCTCTGTATAACCAAAGACCTACTAAAGTGCTTTCCCCGAAAACAAAGGAGCAATTTCTCCTCAAAGATGAATTCAGACCTCACTTTGAAGGCCGTTTTCCTACTTTTTGCTATCAAGGTTTTCAAAAACATAGAGTTTCTGATGATATGGCCCCTTACACAGGATCGTGCTCTCTGAGGAGTGGTAGTCAGCGTGGGGGGTGAGGATTATAAAGAGGAACTAGAAAATAGAGCAGCTATTGGAGCCACCATGCTGGGCCTTTCAGGAAGAACAATGCAACTAGACCTCAGACTCCAGAACTCGAGGATCCCCCAGGGTTTGAGAACTGGCTTATCTGTCCCTCCCTCAGCAGAGAGAACTCAGGGCTTCCTAGTTGGGTGCACAGCCACTCCCTGGCTCTGTGTCTTGTTTAGTTCCCCACCGTGAATTGTCTGTTTCTATCCATATTCCACAGTTCCGACTTCCAGGAGAGAGGATTTGATTGGGCTAGTTCATCAATGTCTTTTGTGTTTGAGCAGAGCTTTTTATACCAGATGACCTCACAGGTCATTGACTCAGATGGAATGACTCCCTTGGGTCAGGTGACAACCCCAGGTCTAATCAGCTTGTTGATGGAATGGAGGTGGGGCGAGGGACAGGGTCACAGGGTAAACCACAAAGCCACTCCTCAGGGAATAGGCTAGGATTGCTCCTTCAGCAGAGGCTGTGGGTGGGGCAGTTTCCCTCAGAAAGAGCCCCTGGGCCTGGCCAGGGCAGTTATTGCAGTGTAACCAAGTAGTACAATGCAGTCCTTTCTACAGGGGGCAAAAGGAAAGGCTGACTTTTAATTAATGATTGACATCCAGATTTTGACCTCAGCAAGTTGTCCTTGCGGACACTCAGTTTCTTCACCTGTAAAATCAGACAGTCCATCTTAGTGATTTCTAAGGACCTTCCATTCAGGGCAGATCCAGATTTTACACACCCAGGCTTATATAATATTTGGAATTCTCTTCATGAAAAAAAAAATACAAAATTAGGCGCAAGGTCTTAGAAGGGGCCGGGAAACTCAGGCTTCTTTAGTTTCATATAAATCCACCTCTGCTCCTATCCTTCAATTCTGTGGTTCCATTTTGGCTGTTGTTTTGAACTCTGCCTACCTCTTGTGCTCACAGCCTGAGGCCTTTCTGATGAACCACACACAGGCTGCTCTTCAGCTTCATTCCCAAAAAACAGTGTGTTCCCCAGCAGTCCCTTCAATAGACTATAATCTGTTTGATAGTTTGAGAGGGTAAAACATTTGGTCCACATGCTTTACAGAAATTTGAAACATAGTATTATGATATTGAAATTAATTAGCATGCTTTTTACAGAAATCCCTTTATTTTCTAACTATACATTCTTCAAGGCTCATCCATGCCTCAAAGATGGTGTTGGTTTATCTCAGCTCATGTGTCTTCAGGCTCTTGATGTGCTGCTGCTTATAGTTGTTGAATTTGCATGTGGTGTTCGCACTGTATTGCACTGTATCTGCCTGTTCACAAGCATGGGTCAGTAGCTCCAAAGAGACTCATGGTAATGTAATATTTGAGACAAAAATGTTGATATATTAACTCAGAATAACTAACTTTGTAAATAAATGGAACAGTGACCAATGCTGCAGTAGAAAAAAAAAGATTGTGAATGTGTATTTGCTGGGCTTGGGTGTCACACAAGCACCACAAAGAAAAAGTTCTAAAAGCAAGTATGGCACTATTGGAAGGCTGTCTTTAGCTGACTCCTTAGAGTGTTGTCTGACATGAAGCTTTGTCAAGTAGGGGCAAGAACAATTGGTTTTCTTTCATGACATTTTCACAAAATGTTCAGTTACTTATCTATTAAACTAACAAGTGTTTTTCCCTCTCAAAATGAGACAAAATGATGCTTGCTTTCTGGTATGAAGTTAATTGATTTTAGTAGCAAAAAGCCAAGAGGAGAAAAAATGAGAGAGGCAGCATTGCAAGTTGCATTCTTCATATCATTTCCTTAAACAGCATACTTCTCCTTTCTAGGCTTATAAGGCAGGGACCAGGCTTGTTCAAGAGGCCTGAACAGTGGCGCAAATGTCTTTGTTTCCTTGAGTTTACTCTTTCTCAACACCTCATGGAGAACACAATTGATGATCCATTGCTTGGCGCAAAGTAATACCATATTTAAATGCTGTAGTAGACTGGAAAGAAATGTTTTCCAGAGCCCACTGTAGCAAAAGACTAGATTGGAATACACCTGCCACCATCCCCCAGGTGGACACAGCTCTCCAGCTTTGTGGTGTGAAATGCCGGTCACTTGGCTAGTGAACTGACTTTGTCTTCAGTACAAATCTCTCCATAGTGTTGGTTCATGCTCAGTTCAAATAAGAAAATTTGTTTTTGTTCTTCCTTTTTTTTTTTTTTTTTTAATGTGGTTGACAAATGGTAGACATGCAGTTTTTTAAAGTATCTGAAACATAGTTTTCACATTTTTTCATCTTTATCATCTCTGTTTTTTTTCACTTTTCCCGCAGGTACCTACATTTTTTTAAATGCCCATGTGTAGGGTCACAGCAAAATTGAACCAAAAGTATGGCGAGTTCCCACACATCACCCCCCACCCCCCACCACCACATACATAGCCTCCCCCACCATCGATATTCATATCGGTGTGGTACATTTGTTATAATCAATGAACCAACATTGACACATTATCACACAAAGTCTATTGTTTACATTAGGGTTCACTCTTTCTGTTATAGGGTTCCCTCTTTGTGTTATACAAATGTATAATCTAGTGTATCCATCATCACAGTATCATACAGAATAGTGTCAATAAAATAAAAAGTAAAAAACTAATAAAACACAACAGAGAAATAAAACATAAAATGTAACATAACTCGCATACTAATTATGAACCAAAATATGACAGAGTTGAGACCAAACCTATGAGTCTATCAATAAATTTAAATTGGCTTAACTTCCTATTAAAAGAAAAGATGTTCAACTGGACTCACCAAGCAAGACTCAACTATATGCTCTATCCAAAATAAAATTATTAAGAAAGGCTGAAAATAAAAGGATAAGCAAATGTATACCAAGCAAATGAAAATAATAAGATAGCAGATGTATCAATATTGCTATCAGAGAAGTAGAATTTTGAAAAACATTGTGACTAAAAGGATGCTCTTTAATGCTAAACACCACAATTCACAATGAAGGATATCTATGCAATAAATTACACAGCAACCACTTTTATAAAGCAAAAACTACAAGAAATGCAAGGGAGACACAGAAGGAAATACCTGCTCATAGGAGAATTTAACTTACCACTCTTAGTATAAGACAAATCAAGTAGACTAAAAATAAGTAAAGATATTGAAGATCTAAATAGCATAATCAATAAGAATATATATCACACTTTATACCCAAACAATAGAAAATACACTTCTTCTTAAGCGCACATGAAACATTCACCAAAAAAAAAAAATTCCTATGTAAATTGAAATTAATTTCTAAAAAATAATAATGAAAAATACCACATGCCATAATCTGATACATATAAAGTAATGATCAAAGGAATAATCAAAGTCTTAAGCACTTAATAAAAATTAAAGATGGCAATAAATGAAATCTTAACTTTAAAAGCTAGAAAAAGAACAAGAAATAAACCAGAATAAAGAAAAAGGAGGATGGGCCAGTCCGGTGGCACAGTGGTTAAGTTTGCACGTTCCGCTTCTTGGAGGCCCGGGGTTCAGCAGTTCGGATCCCAGGTGCAGACATGGCACCGCTTGGCAAGCCATGCTGTGGTAGGCATCCCACATATAAAGTGGAGGAAGATGGGCATGGATGTTAGCTCAGGGCCGGTCTTCCTCAGCAAAAAGAGGAGGATTGGCAGTAGTAAGCTCAGGGCTAACCTTCCTCAAAAAAAGGAGGAAAATAATGATAACATAGAAATTGAGGGAGAAAATAGAAAAACAGAATTCTAATGAATAAATTAAGTAAGCCACTAGCTAACTCAAGAAAAAAAGGGAGAAAGCCCAGGTACTCAAATGTCAGAGGAAAATAACTATTGAAGAATTTAGAAATGTCATAAGAATCTACCTT